TTTTTTTTCTTCTGTTTTTAAAAATTATCTAATATTGATTGTTAGTTATAAAAAAAAAATATTTATTACAAATTTTTTTATAAAATTACTGTTTGTTATTATAAAATTTCTAGTCATTTTGTTTTTTCTCTCTTTTTACAAAAAAAAATTACAACAAAAAAAAACTACAAAAAAAAACCTAGTGACACACTCGAGCATCGTTAGATATTATCATTATCGATTGCTCGTTCCAAAAACAAAACTGAATTCAGTTTTTTCTCGTTGTTTTCTTGTTTTCAAAAACGAAAAAATTTTTCCTTCAAAAATCATCGAAATTGTGAACAGTGAAAAGAAATCTTTCCGGTTAAAACAAAACAACAACAAAAGTGAAACAAAAAAAGTGAGATGTCATCCCCAATGATTTATCACAAACAAACAGACTTTATCTCGAACTTTTTTTGAAAACTTTTTTGTTTTTTTGGAATCACTTGTGCCAATCACACCTACTACCAAACATCGACAACATACCTTTTTGCAGGAAAAATTCTTGATGATTCTTGAAACATTTTTTGTTTTTCGATCGTTGAAGATTCTACTTATCACATCTAGTCAAATGTTCTATGCTAGTGTTGTTTTCTTTATCTTTTCTTTATCTTCGTAAATTTTCCGTAAGTTTTCTTGTTTCGAAATTTTCCAAACCAACAAATCACCCTTTTTTTTCTCTATCCATTCAATTAATCTTACTTTTATCATCATCATCATCATCATGATGATAAGAGAAAATTCAATGAAAGAAAATGCTTTGTCATTTTGACAGTTGTAACATTTTGAAAATTTATTTCGATAAAAATGAATTTTTTTTTTTTTTTTTGATTTTTGCGAAAGAATTTTTCCAAACGAAATTCCGTTTTTCTCCATAACACTTTTTTTAAAAGAAAAAAAATGAAAAGCGTGGCGCCATCTTTCGTCATTCATCATTGATGATTATTTCGAATGTTTTTTTTTTCTATTGATTGATTGAATAATCATTCGAATTCGAATTAGAATTTTTTTCGTTTGAAAATTATCATTATGTATCATCAGAGTTTTTTGTTTCAAAAATTTGATTAACGTCATCGATCGATCGATTGATTGATTCAAGTTTAACCATAAGATTGATTGATTATGATTCGATTTATGTTTGATGTGTGTTTGTGGAAGCAACTGGCCTTGAATTTTGAATATTGCAACTTTCAACATGCCTTTCTATAGAAACACACATTTCCACGATGTAATTTTTTTCTTCTTTTCTTTTCTTCAAAATGATAATCTTAATGTGTGTGTCTGTGATGTGTGTGTTCATCAGGATGGATAGTGTTGTTGTTGTTGTTGTTCTGAGAAAAACGGTGTGTGTGTTTTTTCCCTTTTTTTTGTTTGATAAAATGATCACATCATCATCAACGACGAAAGTGTTGTTTGGTTGTAAATAAAATTAATGTTTTTTTTCGCTGGTTTCCTTCTTTTTTCTTTTAATTTTTTTTTTTTGAAATTACAAAACCAGAAACGAAAAAAAAATATTCTTGGTTTGTTTGTTTTTTTCTGGTCGAATGTTTACCTGAATTTTTTTTTCTATCAATTTTTTTCCCCGGTTAAAATAACGCCATCTATTGAGTTGATTTTTTTGTTGAAATCTTTTCGAATTTTTTATTTTCGAAAATCTTTGTTTTTTTGTTTTGATTCTCTCATTGCTCATTTTCTCATTTCTTCATTATCATTAACAGATTGCGAAATTCGTATTTTTTGGTTTTCCCATAAAAAAGCGCACTAATTTTTCTGGATTGAATTGGTTTTTGGACAAACTGAGAAAAAAGAATAAGAAAAGAAAAGAAAAATGTCCACAACGAATGCAACAATAATTAGTCCGTTAATTAATATTAAACAACAACAACAACAACAACAGATAATTAAACAAGAAATAATTAAAGATGAAGATGATGAATGTATACGATATATATCAACAAGTGGTATTATCAGCAGTGGTGGTGGTGGTCAAAATTTAAGAAATCAAAATAATAATGATAATAATTCTTCAAAAGAAGAATTATCATTAGATGTTAGAAATGGACATAATTATACAGCTACCATTATAAATAAATCATCAACTTCCAATAACCAGAATACCTCGCCGCATCAACAACAACAACATCAACAGCGGCAAACATTATTATCACATAGAGGTGGTATAACAACAACAACAACAACTGCCAATCATCAATCATCATCGATTAATATAAAACGTATTGAATTTCCTATTTCAAAACATCATCATCATCACCATCAGATTAATACAACAACAACTCCGAATACAAACACCACCACTACACAAACAACATCGATCAATGTCGTATGTATAATTATATATTGTAGATTAGATTAGATGTGTGAAACGCAAAAAAAAATTCTTATAAAAATTTTATCTTTTTTTCTTATGAAGGATCTCTTCAATGCAGCCGCAGCCGCCGCAGCAGCAGCCGCAAATCTTCATCATACAGAAAATCATTCATCATCATCACCACCACCATCATCATCATCACCATTTAATATTGATAATAATAATGATAATCATCATCAAGAAATGTTTTGCTCAAGTACTGTATCCGGTGATTTAATAACAGGATCGAATACAACAACATCTTCTTCATCGACAACAAATAATACAATCTGTTTGGATACAACAAATGATTTAATCAATAATAATAATAATAATAATAATAAGATACGTGATACATCACCAAAACGTTTATGTTTAGTTTGTGGTGATACAGCATCCGGTTTTCATTATGGTGTTGCATCTTGTGAAGCATGTAAAGCATTTTTTAAACGTACAATACAAGGTATTTACATATTGATTTGATTTGATTTGATTTGATTTACATTTGATTTGAAATTAAATTCCATAAGGTAATATTGAATATACATGTCCAGCAACAAATAATTGTGAAATAAATAAACGAAGACGTAAAGCATGTCAAGCATGTCGTTTTCAAAAATGTCTTCGTATGGGTATGTTAAAAGAAGGTGTACGTTTAGATCGTGTACGTGGTGGTAGACAAAAATATCGTCGTACATCTGAATCACCATATAATCATCAAGGATCACAACAAAATAATAATAATTATTGTTTGAAAAAATCAAATATTGATGGTATGTTAAAATAACATTTGTTATTAATTTTAAAAATCAACTAAAATTGATTAATTAATGATGTGTAATGAAACAGATAATCGTATAATTGCTGCATTAATAAAATGTGAACCTGAACCGATAATAAGTAATGCTAATCTACATTTATATAGTCCAAATAGTTCATCATCAAATAATAATGGTATATCATCGGTATCATCATCACAATATAAAAATCTTTGTATATTAAGTGAATTGGTTGATAAAGAATTAGTTGCAACAATAGCATGGGCTAAACAGATACCTGGTTTTACTGATCTTATTTTAAATGATCAGATGCGTTTATTACAATCAACATGGGCTGAAATATTATCATTATCGTTGGCATTTCGGTTTGTTATTTTTTGTTTTTTTCATTTATTCGACAATTTTGTAATTGAATTTTCTTTTGTTTTTTTTTCCAACAATTAAATAGATCTCAACAATATAGTTCACCACCTAATACACCTGCATGTCTTAGCCCGAATAATGCATCATCAACAACAACAAATTCAATATTTAATAAATTAGTATTTGCAACAGATTTTATTATCGATGATCAACAGGCTGCTCAATGTAATGCTGATGATTTATTTGCTCATTTAATGCAATTAATTCGTCGTTTAAATCAATTAAAAATTGCTAAAGAAGAATATTTATTAATGAAAGCAATTATATTGACTAATGCAGGTAAAATGTTTTTTTTTCAATGTTTTTTATTGTTTTGTTGAAATAATAATGTTGTTGTTTTTTTATTACTTTTACCAAACAAACAAACAAACAAAAAATTCACTAGATATACAATTAGAAAATCCGGAAAGTGTCATCAAATTACGTGATACATTAATACAAACATTACAAGATTGTGTATCAATATTACGGCCACAAACAGCTATTAATCATCTAAGTCAATTATTTTTATGTTTACCATTATTACGTCAATTGGATAATGTAACAAGAAGATTATGGTTAAATATTTTACAAGAAGGAAGTATACCAATGCAAAAATTATTTGTTGAAATGTTAGAATCAAATGCTACATTTTAATTTATAATTGATAATTAATAATTCTGCCTATTATATATATAGAAGATTTATATTATAACGGTACAAAACACACATACACACACACATTTATAGTATTTTTGGTTTGATAACATCATCAAACATCAATTTAATCATCATCATCATCATTTTATTCTGTTAATTTTTTTTTCTTCTTCTTCTTCATCATTATTTACAAATATTCATACTGTTGTTGTTGTTATTGTTATTATTATTATTATTATTATCAAAATTCTATTCTTCTCATCAACAACCTTGATTGATTGATTGATTATTTTTGTATATTTTTTTTCAAAAAAAAAAGAAAAGTAACATTATTTTTTAGCTGTTCACATCATCATTACCATTATTTTGGCTACATCGTTACATAGATCACACACAAACAAACAAACAAAAAATGTGTTCAAAACACTGGTTCATTATCTGTATGTTTTTATTTTACTTACCTATTTCGTTTACAATGTTAATGATTTTCATTTTAGTCATTCAAAAAAACAAAAAATTCATTTACCGCACACCTGATACCTTAATGACAATCGTCTAATAGATACTTTTTGGTGAATTTGGAACAATAACCAGTGACCAGTGACCAGTGACATATAAAAGAAACCTTTGAACTAATTTTGGCCAGTTGATTGCCCGGTTGATTTGTCAAAAACAAAACAGAAAAAAAAATCAGGAATTTTCTTCTTTTCTTTTCTTGTTGAATTACTTGTTAACACTTCATTGCCATCATCATCACCATTCTATTCAAAATTAATTTCGTGTTGATTTTTTTTTGAAATTTTATGTAACATAGATTGATTTTTGCTTCCAAAAAAAGAAATAACATTGTTGTTGTTGTTTTTGTTTCCATTCGTTTAAATTCTTTATCAACAACAAACACACACAGAGAGAGAAACAAACAAAAATTGTTAAATTTGATTCAATAATTTTTTTCTTTTTTTAGATATAAAAAAAAATTCTAATTATAATTCTAATTAATTAATGATAATTAAAAATTTTATTTAGTTACAAAAAAAAAAATCTGTAGTTTTTTTTTATACAGTTTTTGATTGATCAAAAATCAAAAAATCAAATATTGCATTGCATTGCCATCATCATCATCATTGATGGGTTTTTGGTGTGTTTATCTTAGTCTATCCGTTTGTTTGTTTGTTTGTTTGTTTGTTTTGTTTGTTTATGCAACAGGTAAATACATTGTTTGTAAGAAAAGAAAACAAGCAAAAATATTCCCCAAAAGAAAACCCAAAAATTTTTTCCAGCTTTTTTTTTTTTTGGTTTTTTTGGTTTTAGTTTTATTTGGATTCAATGGAAATTCAAATGAATGTTTTTCTGGTGTATGTCTGTGTTTGATTAAGGAACACTTTTTTTACAATTGAAATATTTTGATTGCACTTTGTAAATTGTGTGATTTTTAGTTAGTTTGTTAGTTTGTTTGTTTGTTTGTTTGATAATGATAATATTTAGATTATGATGGCGCCAATCGGAAAATAATTATCATCATTAATGACGGTGTGGTGGTGGTGGGGAGGAGGGGAAAAAACGTTGTTTGTTATCAATCATTTTTTGGATATGGATTTTGTTGTTTTTCATTTTTGATTCAAAAAAAAAAAGAAGCGATTGACTAGATGACAATCACGCAAGATGGCAGCACTAGGTTCGAAAGTTTATTTGGAGGAAAAAAAAAAAAGATTCGAATTCGAATGTTTGGTGTTTGAAAAAAATTTATTTTTTTCCAAAAAAAAAAAAAGGTCAAGTTAAGCTAACCATCGAAGAAGCATGTGAAACTACTTATCATTTATAATCATCATTATGATTATATCACCTATAATTAATTTTACAATTGAATTCAAAATTTTTTTTAAAAAAAAGCAAAAATTACGCTAAAAAGTAGCAAGATCAAACAACCGAAAGATTCGATCAATTTCACTACCAAAAAAGAAGAAAAGAAAAGACAGCCAGACAGGTAAGAATCGAAGAAAATTGAAAAATAATCATGGTCATTTTTGTTTTGTTGTTTAATTTAATTAATTCAGTGAAGAAAAAAAATTTATTCTTCGTTTTTTTTGGTGGTTTTTTTTTGGATTTTAAGGATTGGCATCATCATCATCATCATCGACCATCGACAATCATCATTATCATCATCAATGTGGTCAATAACATTTCTCCACCACCACCAACAACAACAACAACAACAACAATCGATCGAATCGATCGATTCGCAAATTCGTTCTCTTTTTCTCTCTTGGTTGAAAATCGATAATAAAAAAAAATTATCAAAAAAGTTTTTTTTTTTTTTGGCATAAATTAACCATGTACATAATATATTCATAATCAAGTGATGTTAACCTCAAGATTTTTGTTTCGTTTTTTGGTTGATTTTTTCAGAAACCAGAAAAAAAACCAGACGAACAACAATCAATGGGGAAAAAAAGAGAATCTTTAGACGACAACGACGACGACGACGACTGTCAACCGATCATCATCATCATCATCACGAAAGAATCAAGAAGAATTTTTTTTTTCTTATGATTAATAATTTTCATCATCATCATCAACATCTTGAGCTTTAATGAAATCTTCTTTTTTTTTCTTCTGTTGATCGATCCTATTTCTACTATAAAATCACTGACTGAATTTACCTGAATTTTATCCCCCCCTCTACAAAAAAAAAACAAAAATGCAATGATTGTTTAGCCGGTGCCGGTGAATAGATGATAATTAACAACCCTGATGATGATGAAGACCTGTGTCGATGATCATGATAATCGTTATATAGACAAAAAAAAAACAACAACAACAACAAAATGTATGTACAAAAAAAGAGATTGATAGTTTTTTTTATTTCTATCTTATTGCAGAAAAAGAAAGAAAGAAAAAAAAAGTTGAAGAACCATCATGGATTATCATCATCATCATGATCATTACATTCAGGTACATTCGATAGCAATATATTTGTCTATAAGTGTGTGACGTTTTTTTTTTGGTGCTTTTTTTTACTTGTTAAAAAGAAGATTATTCTTTTCTATTTGATTCTTGTTACTTTTTTTTTCTTCGTTTTCAATCGTTCAACAACTTTCTTCACCATGAAAGCCATAAGCCATATATTCAAATGAAGAAAATTGTTACAAATTAACAACAACAGAAGCAAAACAAAACTCAAATAAACATGATGATTGAGAGAAGGAGAATCAATCGAAAGAAGAAATTCCTTTGCAAATGATTATTGAACAAATCAGTACACGGTATGTGTGTTTAAGAAGAAGATTTTTCTCTTTTTGCACTTTTGAAGATATTTAAATTATGATAATAAAAAGTTTTTCTTTTTTTTTAATTTCCAGCGAAGAAATAAGAAATAAAAATCGATAATTCGAAACATATGCAACACACATATATTGATGGATAAAGACAACAACGACGATTGAAGAACTCTGTATGTCTATCTATGGTGGTGGTGGTGATGGTGGATAATCAATGATGCTTGGAGCTTTAAGCAAAAGAAGAAGAAACGAAAAGACCTTGAATATTTTCTCTTCTCTCTCTCTCTCTCTAGCCGTCTGTGATTTGGTTGGTTGTTGGTGGTTTAAGAATTTTTCAAAAATGATGATGCAAAAAATAAGCAAACAACGACTATGATTGAATTCGTAATGAATAGATTTTTTTTTCTCTCTTTTCTTTAGAAAGTCAATATCCAGACGAAAACAAAAAAAAAATAAATCTTTGAATCAAATTGAAGAAGACGAAAAAGAAAAGAAAATATTCTTTTTTGGCCAAAAAAACAAACTTGTATTACCGGTGTTTTTTTTTCATTATTCACCAAAAAAAAAATCATAATTTTTCTTTCTCTTTTACCTGGGTTGTTGTTGAACAAGTTTGTCAAGATTTTTTTCCTTTTCATTTTCATTTTCATTTTCAGGTCGCGAAATTCTTAAATTCATTCACAAAACTTTCATTCGTTTTGTATATGGAATGTCTCTCTCTCACTCTCTCACTCTCACCATGTCTTGATAAACATCATTAACTTACTTATACAATTTTTTTTTTTGTTGCTTTCCTCAATGTCCCAATCATCATCAATCGAATGGATTTTCATATCGTCGTCATTCCCCCCTCCTCCTTCCCCCCATCATTTAACGAATAAAGAACCATATCACTTTCGATTTTTTTCCTACTTTCTTTCTTTCAATGTTAATAATGATGATGATTTAAATACGTTTCTTTTCTTATTTTAACGATGTTTGTTTGTTTGATGATAATCATCAAACAACAACAATAAAAATATTCTTCTTCACTGAATTTTCGGTAAAATCAAAGTTCATTGATATTTTTTGTTGTTGTCGGTTAATTTGTAAACATTTGAATGTGTTTTTCTTTTCCATTTTACAAAATTATTATTCAACAATTTCGTTGAATAATTTGTTTTGTTTTTCGCCAGTTCATTCATTACTTTAACGAAGAAGAAGAAACTCTTTTCTTTTCTTTTCATTTCAATCTTCGGATCTATTACAACAACAACAACCAGGAGAAGAATCCTGTTAGTTTGTTTGTTAGGAAGCTTAACTGTTGATTTTTTGGCTTGAAAACATTTTTCAAGCCAAAAAAATATCAAGCAGGAAAAAAAAAGAGACAAAGTTTTTCAAATTTCAAATGTTAAATCATCATGATTCATGGTGCCTCTTTTCCATTTCTTTCATCATAATCATCATCAATTCTTGGAAGCGAAATTAATTCTTTCGTTTGTTTTGTTTTGTTGCTAATTTTATCCATTCCGGAAATGTTTTTCTTTTTTCATTCATTCATTCTTCGTTTCGCCGTTAAATTTTTCTCGTTATTTTTAGCTTGCAAGCGAGCAAGAGGTGAGAATTCTCTTCTTCCCCCTACCACCACCATCACCGTAAAAGAATCTAGATTATTTAATTGTTTTGCAGATGCGGAAAGCAAATTTATTTTTCTTCGAAGGAGAAAAAAGATTCGTTGCCAAATCCATTCGAGTTTCTTTCTTTTTCTTTCCTACTTTCGATCGACCTGATCATCATCACCATTGGAATGAGAAAAAAGAAAAAAAAGCAGGTCAGCAAGATTCGTTTTTTCTAAAGTGAAAAAAATTTGGTGGTTTTTTTCCTTAAAAAAAAAGTTTCTTTAAAAATTTTTTTTATTACCCTGTGTGTGTGCGATAAACAGATTGTCAGATTACATTATTCATCGACTGATTACACCAGTGATATTCACGGTGTTTTTTTTATTTATTGATTGAATCTTTACTTTTGGATAATGAATTTTTTTATATATTCACTTACTTAGTCGCTCTCTCTCTCTCTCTCTCTCTCTAGCTCTCTCCTGTGAAAGATATCGATGCAATATGTGAATCAGAGCGCGAGAATGCGAAGAGAAAGTGAAATTAAAAAATCTAAAAATCTAAAATACTGATGATAGGTGATGGTGAAAATTGAATTGAGAATTTATCTCTGCAAATCGATAAATTTTTTTCATTCCAAATCCTTTGAGGCATTTTTTTTTTTGGCCGGCAAAGGCGATGAAGAAGATGAAATTTTTTTTTTCTCTCTCTCTCTCGCTGATAATTCTTATTTTTGTCAATTTTTTTTAATTTTTTTTTTCGTTTTTTCGTTTTTGAAATCAACAAAGTGAACAACTTGAAAAAAAAAATTTGAACCGAAAATCCGAAAATCAGATTGAAATGAAATGTGGAAAAAAAAAAATGTTAATGAACTCTCTCTCTCTCTCTCCGGTTTGGTTTCTGGTTGTCGT